CATCAGCACTGACATGCATTTTTTTAGGAATCAAACAGAAAAAATAAGTAGGTCCTCTGGATGGGTTCTTCTTTAGTGAAACGGTTCTTCTCTCCTCCAAGAGACTTCTTCAGTCTGATGAGTTTCAGGTGAACTCAGCCTTATAAGCACTGCCTCCACATGGACAAACTGGTTAGTCACATGCAAGAGGGCCATCGCCTAACAATAGGCTTGATTAGCTCTATTGTTCATAGAGGGTCATGTGCTGTAAGCCGAAGCATTCAAACCAATAAGTCAGGTGATGGGGCACATGACCCTCTATGAACAATAGACCTAATCAAGCCTGTGATGGCCCTCTTTTGCATGTGACTAACCTGTTTGTCCACCATGTGGAGGCAGTGCTTATAAGGCTGAGTTCACCTGAAACTCATCAGACTGAAGAAGTCTCTTGGAGGAGAGACGAACCGTTTCACTAAAGAAGAACCCATCCAGAGGACCTACTTATTTTCTCTTTTGATACTGACCAAAATTTTACAAAGTTTGACCTGCCCGACATGGAAATTCGACTTAATTCTGATTAAAATTTGCAGGGCCGTGTCTGCTAAACAATTGAAGTTGTCTTTTTAACAGTATAGAGCCGTGGGAAAAAGGAAGTATGGGACTTAAAAGGATCCGTTCTCGACCAGGTTCTAAAATTATTCAGTTCTTACCGCAAGTGAAGAGAAACACAAAACAGATTCATTGAGACATAAAAAAGTAAATAACCTGTGTGTAACAAATGAAGAAGTTTCCAGTAGTTTATAGAAGCAGCGTTAGCAGCAGCAAGGTGGTTTTTAAGTCTTATCAGTCTCTAACTTGGTGGTGGAGCATTTTGGCCCACTCTTCTTTCCAACGTTGCTTCAGTTCATAAAGTTTTACGGACTTTTGTTTCTGCACAGCACACTAAGGTCCAAACACAACATTTCAATCAGGTTAAGGGTTCAGTTTGGTGGCCAGCAGGAGCAGGTTGATCTGCAGCTTTCCACCTGTTTGGTTCACACAGTGGTGCTCTATAGAAGTGGGAGCGTTCTTTACGTTTCAGCTTCTGGACTCCTTGGACCTCTTAAAGAGTTCTCATTTAGTGTCACTTCTTGTTACACCGGCCATGCTGAGTTCAAAATTAACACCAGTTCACGTAATGAATGTCACATATACACGAAATACAGCAGAAGCAGGAAAGGTGGAGTTTTTTTTAAACTTGAAAGAGCAAAAACCAAACACTTCCTTTTCTACCCTGCCTGGCCAAAAACAGTGTCCACCTGGATTTAACTAAGCAAATAGGTACAAGCCTCCTATTGGATAATTACTGCATCAGTGATTATCTTTCAGCTGGAAACAAGTTATTGAACCTGGTGTTATTGAACCTAAGTTATTATTATCGAACCTAAGTTATTGAACAAGTTATTGAACTGGTGCAATGAGATGACTCATTTCTTAAACAACCATGTGGAAAGACACATCCTGTGGCTGTGGAAAAGATGTCAGTCTGTTTGAGAAGGGTCAAATCATTTGTTAACCAGAATAAAAGGCTTCAGTTTGTTAGGGAGTGTAAAGTTTGGGCTCTGGAACAATGGAAGAAGGTCATGTGGTTTGATGAGTCCAGACTGACCCTGTTCCAGAGTGATGGGTGCATCAGGGTAAGAAGAGAGGCAGGTGAAGTGATGCTGTACAGCCTGTGGAGGCAGTGCTGCTGCAGGTGGTCAGGTCCAGGTTCAGCAACAGTTTGTGCTCAAAGAATGAGGTCAGCTGACCTGAAT